GGAGAATAATCGAGGACGTGTGGTTTTCTCTTTGTATCAGCATTCTTGACATCCTGTGATTGTGTTCATCTTGTGATCCTCTCACTAATTAGAAAGTTCGGGTCACAGATAGAACTGCTGCACCGCCCAACGATTTCCCGTAGCTGCTTCGGTGGCCGGGGCTGTATAATCTTCTTGAACTTCCTTTCTTCAGATGAAAGCTGTCAGCAAATTATGTCTGCAGTGAAACCATCTTCCTACCTGTATTTCTGATTGCCACTGCATCATAGATGGAAGAGGATGCGTTTCATCAGGTGCACAGCCTTCCTTTGATGAAGCATGGGACGTCGGCATGTTTTGATATTCGATGTGTGCTGAGTGAGCATGCATGAAGGGCACTTAATAATGAACACAATTCTGGATTTAGGAGCACATTTAGAGCAAACTGTACACTGTTGAAGCACTGTATGAGCATACTGTATAATGTATGAGCGAACTAGAATAAATCAGGGGAATGAATGGAATTCTACTTCCAATCCTGAAAATCAATCGATACAGTTCGCCGCGATTGAAAATTTACGTGAGGTAGAAAATAATCAAAGTTGAATGACAGGAGCCGCAAAAATGACTAGCGACTTCGAATAAATTTCTCTAAACCGAATAATGGGGAAATTAACTTCCTGCTTCACTTAATTGCTCTCTGAATGATACAGTATAATTCTGTGACATTAATTCTTTTTGTTTGATAGATAAGAATTAGTGTCGGTTTTCGATATTCGAAATTCATGACTTACAGTTTCATTGCGAAATTAATTTCGGTTTATGACGTTGGAAGTTTAATACGAACGAATTTTTAGGTGCCAATTAATTTTTATTTAGTATATTGTATGCATTTTACATCCATTTCTATTTCGAAATTGCTAGATTTCACTTTCAAGGAGAAGTCAGAACGCCGCAGTAGATGCTTGTTAGGCCGGAGGCATCTGCGCACATCCTGAGATTATCGAGCGCTGAAGGCTGATTGCCTCAGCTGCTTTTTTGTCTTCATTCGAAAGAGTTCAGGAATTCTTTTGAACTACATTTCAATTTTATCAATTATTTTCATGTAATTACATCCGAATCTTGAACAAATAGTATTATTGAACGTGAACTTTTTCTGCCAATTGAATTTTGAAATGTGGTGAGAGCAAAACCGTATTCGAATCATCAGAATGGATGCGTTAATTGGACATTCAAACGCGAGAAATTAATGCATTGATGACAAAGATTGAATTGGAGTCGGAATGTCACCGTCAACATTCCGATTCGCTTGAGCCTTTATTCGAAAAGAAATTCATTCCTAATAACTTGGGGTGATGTATTCAAATTGCAGAATTAATTAAACAAAATTAAACCGAAATAAGAAATTTTGAAGACGAGTGCCAATCTGCTAGAATACAGCGCTCGCAGCGGGTGCGTCGAAACTCAACGATTGTGATCGCCGCTGCTTTCTGGGATTTGAAGTGGCGTTGCTAATGAAAATCATCAGGTGCCATTGTGAACTTCATGAAAGTGTTAATTGATTATATTAAGAAGCAGCGTCACGCGCTGAATGGCATGATCTAGTGACAAATATTCTCGCAATCCGGACCTGAAATTCAAGCTAACGATTTATCATTGTATTGATTTAATTAAGAATGTTTGTAGCCACTTTAATGATACTGCATATAATTGCGGCTGGGTTGTATAGTAACACTAATGTCCATTTATAATCACATCCTTGAGATTCGAAATTTAATTTCGTGACGATGTTAGACGCAGTGTGTCATTGTGTGCCGCCTTGCAGCTGGTTTTATGACGCCTAATGTCGTGACACTTGGAGAAATTCTCTCCGAGATCTGCGTCTGCAAATCATCCCTCGATTGACGCCGAAATTATCGCGCGCGAAAAGTCGAACTTTCGCTAAGGTTAGCGGGCGCTGGGTTGATGCATTGACAGAAGCGTGGCGGTCTCATTTGCTCATCTTCAGTGAAGGAAAAGTTGCTGAACATGACGAACAGGATCAGATAATAAACAACTACAATGTTTTCCGACCTAATTGCTGATAATTTTGGTGGCGGCGAGTGCGGTGATACGAAAATATATTAACTACTACAAACAAATAATAATTTGATTACTTGATCTTTAGCTTGCAAATTCCATAATGGATTGCTAGTTATTCATTTTCTTTGTGAGGAAACCTCAATCATTTGTTTATTTTCATCAAACAAATATTATATAACAAAACACCATTTACAAAACAAATGTCACTCGATAGAACTGGGTTACGGGCAAGTGATCGAAAAGGATTATCATCTGCAGCCACGAGATGACAGGAAGCTTGGCAGAAGAGATACACATGCAGAGGCGGCGCAGCGTCTGCTTTCTTCCTAAGAATGCCCTGGAAACGCTGGCGTTCGCTCTAAAAATTCCTCGTGCATTGTTCAACATAAAACGTGTGAGCTTCTTCGTGTCGTTACAGCTCAGGAATAATAAGACTGGCAAACCGAACATATTGATATTTGATAAATTTATCTTACCAATGACAACTTCCCATTCTGTTTGAAAGACTTTAAACTAGAATTACAGTAAGTGTTTAATCGTTTGCAGTCTTGAAAATTCCGGATTTTTTAAGTTTAATTTATGGAAGAAACTTTCGCAGAGTTTTAAGCATAATATAAAGATGACATTTATGTATGAGCGGTAAGAAATCGAATGGATGACGGAAAATGACACTCGCGCTCCACGTATTCAGGCGTCAAGTCCATAATAGGGCGACTACTGACCGATGGTCTCGATCTTCCTGACCCGACACTTCCTGTCTTAAACACGTCTGTGCGTGGCGTGAAGACGTCACCTGAAGTCCCTGCTCAACATACTCTCTTTCAAGTTACCAAACAGTGCCAGCTCTGGTCTGTGATTGGCCGGTTGTTTAAATTCAGTAGGGGCGTATAATGCCGCATGCTTGTCTTTTTAGCGCATTTTCTCTTTATTGAAAAAAGGCGCTATTGTGCTCGTCATGTCCGTCCGTCCGTCTGTCTGTCTGTCTGTCTGTGACTTCACGTTGTCGAGTATTCATGATACTCGGCAACGTGAAAATGCGCTCTCTGTCACTCACTGCAGTGAGTACTGATCTATTTTTTGAGATAGGTCTAGCAGTCTAGGTGCATTAAATCAATTTCCGATAGTGGTTGACATGCGAACATCATTCATATTGTGAGTTTATCTCGAGGAAAACCGTAAACCGATTTAAATCACTAAAATCCGGAAAGTTTAAAATATAAAGACTTACCTTAAGCTATGTTTATAGAAAAAAAACAGGTAAAGCTTTACTGCAGAAAGGTGCGAACACGTGACAAGGAAAATGAGAAAAAAGTTTCAGACGACTGTCTTTTGACCATGTCAACCTATAATCCTCCACCAAGATTACATTGTTTCCCTAGGGGAGTATCATAAAATTATAAGAAAGTCGCATTATTAAAGGGTAAATCCATAAAACTTCCATGACTTCATGAAAGTTTCAGTAAAAGTCCTTATCATAAAACAATGCCATCTTTAAAAGCATGTGGAGCAACGACTTCGCTGAGTTGTGGACGAGGACTTGATCTCTTCGAGCTCAGGGTTATCAGAAACTCTGATCATTAGCAAGTCATTTAGCGGATAGCTTAGCAAGGAATGCAAGCGGTAACATGTTCTCCTGAGGTATGTTCAATTCTTATGTTCATCCCACATGGCCATTTACTTCTTCTTATCATTAAAATCTTTTCCTTCTCATTTTTTATTTATTTGGTTTGTTAAGCAACGATATCTACGTGCGAATTTTTTTTCAACTCTACCTACGGGGCCGGGCTTCCCGGACGCGTGACGAACCGGCATCAGCAGGCTACATCGGACCGATGTTGCCAGTTGAGCTGAGTTGTTAAAAACTTACGACTTCGCATGCACTGAAGTGAGACGTCCACAGCAATGAATATTCACAATAGTGAGGCGTTCAAAGTATTTATTAGCTTTCAGGAGATCATAGAATTTAAGTTTCGCATTACAACACGACAACAACGACAACAACAAGAGGATTTACGTTTCTTCTCATTGATGAGAAGAAACTTTATTGATTGAAGAAACTCTCTCAACTTTAACGTTTTGCAATTTTGAGGTGACGAAAGCTTAAATATTGAAAACATCTAAATGCTCTTATAATTTCTAAAAAAATCTGTTATCATTTAAACTTTAAAAATAAGAACACATGAATCTTAAAAACATTTAACTGTTGATAATCGTGACAAAGTTACAAGAGAATTTTCTCTTTAAGGATAGCGACCGCGGCCACTTTCTCCTCTCCTGGCCCCGGGCAAGAATATCCTCAGGAGGCTCTCCCTACAGCTAAACGTCCGCGACCCCAATGCGGTGCTCGGTCTAACTACTCACAGTTATAGGTATAATAAATCGTGGTGTAACCATACAGGATTGGAAGTATTATCTAAGTATTATCGGTATGTATCGTGAAAACGTTTTAACAAAAAATTAATAAATAAAATGACGAGCGTTGTTGATTTTGAAAGATCAATATTTATTAGAACCTTCTGCAAAATATTTACGTGAAAATCAAGACGTGTTACTTTTTTCTCGATAATAAAATTTACGAAGGCTTGGAAGTGAATGACAATTTAAAGTTTGATTCTATAGAAAGTCTGATGCACATTGATGGCATACTATTTTCCTACTTTGCAAAATGTTTATCTTGGCCTCTAGAAACAGTAATTCATAGCAAATGAATGAAACAGAGTGAAGTGTTGACCTTCTATGTAGGTTAATCACGTGGCGTGAGTTAGTTCCGCCTTGGTAAGTTGAACGCGTAGAGATTGTAGCGCGTCCGAGTCCGTCAACCTGGCGCAAAGAACGCAACCGCAAGCCACGTTCATATTATGGAGCTTCTTCACCGCAAAGCGCGCGTTGTTCTTCAGCCACGGGTCTTCACCTTTGAGCCTATATTACGGGGTGACTGCCGGGGCGAGTCATCAGTCCGCGCTCGGCCGTCGGGAAGGCTGTGTGTGTTGTGCTTGAGCTCTGCGGCCACTGAACACGAGGGTGAGTCCTGCATTACGATTTATGTAGTATGGAAATGCGATGCAGTTTTTCTTATTTTCAGCTCAATATAAAAATGGAATGACGATTAGGACTGAATAATTTATTGCGTGATTTGTTAGATTTTTCTAAGCAAAGATTTTCAAAACTGCAAGGATTAGTAGTTTATGAGCGTTGAAGTCTCTAACTTCGTCGTACCTGGTCGTATCATAGAGTAAATGTTGATATATTTTTCGTGTGCTTCTACAAACATTTTCATGAAATAATTAATAAATTCTAACAAATTTATTTGTCTAAAGTTTGTTTTTAAATAGCTGAAAAATATAAAATTTGTTTCCTGGAGCAAAACTGAGTTATTTTCTCAAAAACTAACAAGGTTTCTTCTAGTTTTTTTTGCAGCTTGGCTTTTTGAAACGTAAAAACTAATAATTATTAACAATATACGATACCAATACTGATTCTAATATACAATATATTATAGAACGACGAGACTTTTTAGAAGATTTTAATCTATTTGCATGAAAATTGTTTTCATTTCGGCGAATTATTGAGTTACAGGAGAAATTTTTTTTGTAATTTCACATGATGTAATTTCAGAAGACGGAATTAATAATTTCAATTTATATAATTGACAAATGCTATCAGATAAATTTCCTTTTATTTCATTTGAATAGTGGTGAGACATGAAATCAAACCATGTGTGATGGCATAAAAAAAACAATAATAGATTTTATTTTACCGCACAAATTTTGAAAAAGTTGTCTTAGTTAAGAATGGGCATCGTCGGCATGTACTCGACAGTAATTTCTCAGATAATGAACGAAGAAATTATATATGAAAATTAATTTTTCATTAATTATTTTAATATAAATTTAATTTACTGCAGACTTCAAACATGCGCGTGCTGTGGCTAGTCGCGCTGTGGGCGATATCGGCCGCGGTGTCGGCCCGTAACTTCACACCTAAGAAGCCCGAAATTAAAAAAGAGATAAATAAAAAACTCAGCTTAAATGAATCTGAACTTAACAAAAAACTCTCCTCTGACGTAGCAACTGTGAAGAAAGCAATCGCAGGGAAGAACGACGAAGATACAAAGGCCACTCAACGCTTAGACTTATCAGTGGATCCCAAAGTTGACATTTCAGTTGTGAAATCCACCAAACCGAATGTTGCAAATACTTTAGAATCTGCTGCGGTAAAACAAGCTGACATTGCTACTGACGCAGATTTCAAGATTCCGTTTATTGAGAATATTGACACCACGGAAGTTGTTGACGTTGACATAACAGACAAGGATTCAATACCACTCGTGTTGACACGCGCCGCACTCTCTCAACTGCTCAATATATCGTCTGAGAATCTCGACAAGGAACTCAAGTCTATCACCGTAAGTTGATCATGAACGTTTCAGTCACTAGTTAACAAGGAGGATATTTATCTAATTTAGCAACCGAAGTGTTATTATATACCATACATATTATATTACGATTATAAAATATAATTGAGTGAAACTATCACCAGTTAAGGACGAACTTGAATTATAAAAATACATTTGTTTATGGGTATCGCCGCTCAGATTTGTTTTAATTTCGCGTTGTTTATCAACTGGCTCTGAATTATCAATAAAATAAAATTTGTAGTGAAATCTCAGCTGCAGTTGACGATGAACTCGCAACATTGTAAAATGCAATTATAATACGATGTCACGCAGCTAATTTATTAATATTAGAGAATAAATTTCTCGTCTATTAAGAAGGATCACTGATTTTCAATTAATGTAGCATCTAATATCTTTTTACTTACATGAAGCGGACTGTTGTGTTAAATGGCGAAATTGACTCATTGGATTTTCTTTCTAGAATACAACTGTAATACATTTATAAAAATTAATTTAATCTTTTAACTTGAAGGTTGGTAACACTGGTATCACAATCGGAGACCTCGGAGCTCTCGGTACCCTTTTCCCCACCACGGCTGGTGGAGCCACAAACTTTGCAACGATCACATTTCCGGACTTCCTTGGTACGTTTTTTGGGGGAAACTTCGCTGCCGGGTTAGCAGGACTGCCTGATTTCGGAAACTTAGCCGGCCTACCCGGAGTACTGGCGGGTATTTTGACGGTGGCTGCTGCAGTAGGAGCGGGCCTAGCTGCTCTCATCGCCCTCGCGGTGCCAGCTCTCCAAATTGCCAATCAAATTCTCGCGATCATCGCGATCTCCCTCCTCATTGGTCAGTTCAGACACTTATTCGTGTTTTATATTATTTACTTTTAAAATGCTATTTTGACTTAATAATGCCATATCTTCGAAGTTTATCACTATTATCTGTTCGACTTAATTACTGATTATTATCGATTTTTCTTTGCAGCTTATGTCGTGGAAGATAAGGAGGAGGAGGTTGAAGAAACTGGATACGGCTTCGCGGACACCGGAACTGGCTACGGCCTCAGCTCCGGCTACGGCTACGACGCAGGCCCAGGTTTAGTGAGTGCTGGAGACACTACGGGGTACAGCAGCTACTCCGACTACCGACGAGCAGACAAGCCTGTCGACGCCTTCTCTGATCTTATGGCTGACAATACCATCGATGGAGTGGAACCTTTCAAAGCTTCTACAATAGGCCGCTCATTCGGGCTCACCCCCATGATAAACAGAGTCGCCAAGGTAGTCTCAGATGCCGTTCACACTTACTCAAACATGTATGGTGATGACGAGGAGGAGTAAATTCCTTTCTTTTATTTACTGACATGAAGAAATCTGATGAGTTATTTAGTCTTATTTCAAATGGTCTTAGATCGACCAGACGCTGAAGCCAGTTACTATTATTGAAAACAATGTTGAGAACACATCCAGTCTCAACACTTTCATTAATAGTAATTTATCATTAATTAATTGATTATTAATTATTTTATTTATATAAAATTTAATGTATTTCATTTACTTGAAATATTTGTTACCATCAAATACGGAAAGTTTCTCACACATCAGCTAAAAAAGGTCTAGATATTCAGTTTAAACAAGTTGTTAGTTTGGTGATAGAGTGGAATTTTTAGCATGACTTACTATCAGTGCATAGAAGTTGTTGATCCAATACGCTTTCACAAGTGTAAATTTTCGGTAGCACCAAATATTTGTTAGCTACTTTTAAGTTCGATACTCTGCTTATCCATTACTTGGACGCCCTAAATTGTACTACGTAAAATTTTTCGTGCGCATCTATATTTTTAGTATACATTAGTTCCATTTATAATCTATTTGATGCTAACGTTATATGGAGCAGTGCTGCCCTATCTATTTTTTACTATTTATTTCTGTTATTTAATTTTTTAAATAGACAAAAGACTTTCTGCCAACTTCGTCGATTGACTAGCGGACTCTTCAACTTGACAAGATGGCTAAAGAAGCAACCTTCATGACTTGCATCTCTTATTGACAATAATGCTTATTCCATAGGACAGGTGACATATGACTTACAGCTGAAAACAAGACGACTGGAAAACGGTGAAAAACTGATAGTGACGCCGACTCGGAATTCCACAACCATTAATATTCAAAGACTTATTTACTGTGATTTGGCAATGATTCAGAAGTTACTTGACTTTGTTTTTGCCCATCGCTTGACGAGGAAGTTGCTATTTCTATTATAATATACCAAAATATTTGACTGTGGCATGACTATGCAGTGACTTGATTATGCCATGACTCAACTATACATTGACTCTACCATACGAGACTTTGACAGGACTATGATATTAATTTGCTAATGTTAACTCTGGACCAGGATTTGGCGAGACTTGGGCTGTACTAAATGAAACGGGACAATGGCGCTAGCCACGACTTTATATTCAACTGATGATTCAAAAGTTGCTTGACTGTAATATTTTTGTTCGGCATGACTATAAATAGCACGAATAGGTACCGAATATTACAACGATGACATTTTATGGCCGTGACGTGTGACATTTGTTACGTACCTGACATAATTTTAAGCGCTTCTGTTGATCATGTCTACAGTGAAGCATTGAACGCGTTCTTTGTACATAAAGCCAATGCGGTATAATGTGTATTTGTGTGTGTATGTATATATGTACGAAAATAATCTAGTTGCTCACTTGTACATATGTACATACTTATAATCTATAGCGATATGCTGGACGCTCAAAGACAGAGAAAATATAGGCAGTGACGGAACATAGTGCTAATAACACTTTTTATGATGAATACAAAACTGACTTTTTCAATGAGTTTGTTTATTGAGTTCTCCCTATGAATCTGAATATGCATTCTAGTGCAAAAAATGTTTTGGTTCGCTATGAACTCCTGTATGGTTTCAACAGTGTATTGCTTGTTGAATACAAGCGCTCCTTGCAATCAATTTTAAAAAATGAACTACAAAATGTCGTCTGTGACAACCATTGGCCTTTTTTGCGAAATACCTCAGAATGATGTATTTATACTATATAGCCTCTCAAAGAGTTGTCGTAGAAACCTGTCACGAATGATATCGATGGTTAAACATAGCCCTGCCGTGCAACAAATTCTATCAAAAATTCAGTTCCAGGCAGAAGAGACTGCCCAGAAACGCTTCGAGACTGAAGATTCAACATAATATTTTCAACGCTTCTCTTTTTCGCAATACGCGTGCAAATTACGTGCATTTCCTCTAGGATGCACGATAAAGAAAAACTTTCCAATATTAAACGACAAGCCGGTAAATCGACCAAAGAATAATGGACAGGCAGTTTACATTCAATGTTTAAAAGTCAAAACTTCAGCTCACGTTAGCTAATAATGGCCTAATGTATACAGTAAAGAGTTAGAATTTATGTTGTCGTTGGTGCAAATTCTTGCAGCAGACACGGATTATAAATAATCTGATTTTTATGAATAAAATTCAGAAAATTATTTTGCTAGTACTAACGACTGTAATTACAAGTTATTTTTGAATCATTATTTGAATAAAATATCATCAAATTTGTATATAAATAAGAAACTGAAACTTCAAGGGACAATCAGATGCGTTAATTCCGCTCAAAAAGCATTTTTAGTGATGTATAACATTTACTCGGCAAATTTGGAAAATTCATTTCATATGCCTTAGACTCGAAGGCACTCCCGAAAGTGCAGCTTTACTTTAAATATTTCAATAACATACACTACTTGAGTGCCAACAAAAAACTTTCTACCTTCTAACTTTCATTTAAAATTATTGTACTCATCGCAATAAAAAAAAATATTGAGCAAATCACAATATAAAAAATTTGGAAAACAGCTCAAAGTATGAGCTGCTCGTGTATTTCTCCAAAACTAGGAAAATCTTCGTTGAAGAATAAAATAGTCTTCTCCCTTTTTAATGGCAATCGCTCTTGGTAGAAAATCTACAGCTCTTTCAAGGGAAATTTATTATTCGTGGAACGTTTTGTTCAACAGGTCGTTAGAGAATGAATATAATGGATATAAATAACAAAAAATGAAATTAGCACAGTTGGTTCTTTTCGACGCCCTTAATAAGCGAGTGCAAGCAGTTTCATTGAGAATACAATCAGGATCAATACGCATAATATAATCAGTACGCGCGTTCATAACCTATTGACCTGAAGGTATACCCCAAGACTAATTTCCAGGATTTTACTACACAATGCTTCTAGACTAAATTGAATAAACACAATAGCTCTGGCATCTAGACAAAATTTCAGAGCGTGCTAACATTTGGGGTAACTTTCATAGCTTGGAGCATATTTTCGGTTGCTCTGGTCCAATTGTTTCTTTGGGACCGTGAGAACATAAGGCCTATTGTGTATAGTAGGTTCCTGCTTTTCCTTCATGTTTGTGGTGGTGAGGCAAGGATAACGACTTCTGTGCTCTTATTCCACGCGTAAGTAAAGGCTATTTCAAGCCGTGCGCTCCAGTTTAGCAAACGACGAGACGCGCCTTCTTCGTAATTTTCTTAAGTGATGGTCACTGTAGCGTCCGACGTCCGGCACCGTCTTTGCCAAACAAGGAAAGAAAGTGGTTTTTAGAAAGTAAATGAGAACTTCCAAGTATAACATGAGTCCTGACTAATTCGATTCCTTTGTGTGCGCATCTTCAGTTTAAATTAACTGGAGGTTTGGAAGTTTGTCTCTTGCGCTGGCTGCTTATTATCCTGCACAAGGCGGCTAAGAGAAACCGGATAACCAAACACGTGTAATAAATAAATCCCACTGTTTACCAATATAATAAATCAGAATAAAAATAGAAATGAAAATAGAGGTGATGGATGGATTAGTATCATAAATTATTAGTAAATAATCAGTCAATCTTTACATGGAGCAAATATTTGCTTTCACTGTTCATCCTATTGCTACTTCGAATGTTTTGCAACCTGATTCATGGACATATTGTACGCTGTGTAACAAGATACAGCAATCCAAAGTTATCTGTACCAAAATTTAAGTCAATAAATTCGGAATTTGGTTTTTAATTTTTCCTAGTACTTAGTTGAATTAGTTGAATTTATTACAACTATTCGAAGATTAATCGTCTCTGTGAAACGACTCAAACGATACTTTAGTCAATATGATGTTGATCAGTAAAAAGTGTTGGCGAGTCTGCGAGAAACGCGATCTGCAATTGTTCATGTTCTTTCCCATTGCTGGGTCTCAGCTTGCCGATTGTAGGTAAAGGCTAGGGCCTCGAGAGCGCCAGACAGCCGTAATTATTGAATGATTTTTCGGCAGTAGGTCACCAACTGCAATACTGCAATACTCTTCGTCAGCAACAGCTGTCATTTCTGCACACTTCCCACGACAAATTTCCTTTCAAGTTCGCTGTGAATGTGCCGCTTTTACCAGAAGTAAGACACCTCATCAGAGAGCGCGAGGACAGCCAACCTCATTATCAGTTGAGAGTTATAAGTAGCATCTGCTTTTGGAAATCGTTTAAAACATAAAAAATAAGGTTGATTATTCAAAGGTTCATAGCTCTGTACATGTAAGTAATTCATGCAACAAGAATTAAGCGATAAAAAATGACATAGTTTAATAATAATCTATATACATACAACACGTAAAATATCCGCTAGACTTGAATGAATTGAAGCAAAATCATAATGCCAAGTCTGCAACCATAGATCAAGATCGCAGTAAACCAATTTGGCAGATTACGTCCATTTTTTGTTACAGGCTCGGGCTCACTCTTCGGATCAATGTTGACTGATGCTAACAATGACTAGGCGTTTCTTGAGCTGTTGCTACTAATGATGATGTCGGCAGCTTTTGAGAACTGAGTGAGCAAACACCAAGTGTTTGCTCACAGGGAATATAGAAGCTCGGCTTTAAGTAGCATAATTGTAGATTTTGAAAGCTTAATTTTTAGTATTAATACACATTCCTAATATCTTTCCGCTGCCAATCACTCATTCGGATATCTTTTCTAAGAGAAACAATGATGGCTATAGGACACGGAGGGCAGGTGCAACATTCGGCGTAAGTGACCCCAGTACTGGCCAGTAATTACGCAGTGTAATTACTAAGAGGTTGGATATAATATGTATATAGTATAATATATACCAAACACTATTGAAGTGACAAATGAAGTTTATCGTCATTCATAATTATTTCCTTCGTTGCCGTGACGTAATTGTCCCAATTATCAAATTGTTTTGAACTTCATAAAAATTCGATTTTGATTGTAATTCATATTTTAAACTTAAATGATTTTTTTGCGATTTTTTACAAATCCAGCATTGTAACTCTATGCAGGTAATGCAGCGGCATTGTGACGAACTGTAAGAGTAGGTTAGGTTATCTTAGGTCAGGTTAGGTTAATTATTTGCCAAATTAATGCTAGTAACCCGTGTTTTGAAAGTACGCGTACATCGGAAAATTTTGTGAAAAAATATTGATAACAACATTTCTTATGAAATGAAAAAGGAACATCATCACTATTCCTAGTATCATAATGAACTACGATAACTATTTATTGATTATAGTTCCTTCATTATCAACCATCACGACAAATTTAGCGGAATTGCTGAGGAAACAAGCCTTTGTATATGTTGACGGGCATTTTCCTTCTCACAAGTTCCTCCTGGAAATTGCCACGCTTTTTTCTCTCTCTTTCTCTCTAATTTTCGCGTGCATGCACCAAGACCGGTGGCTTTTCACTTAATTGCCTTGTTTTGTTGCTCAGAGCAAAAACTATTGAGCTTGGCCGAGTTGCTGACTGTGTGCTCCCAAGCGTCTCTTTGCCCCATGCTCCATTTTTTAAGAGAAAATTTCAAGATAAATAAATTACAAATTAGATTTTAGAAGCTACGGTTTAATACCACAAATAAAAATTATCTTAACATTCTGAATTTCTTATTTAGAGGGGCTCGTTCAGCAGGAAAGTATACAAGGTATGAAATTAGGGTTGATAAATTGTGATTATTAATAAGGCTAATATTATGGGATGATGTTAAAGTTAATATTAAGGTTTAATGTTAAAGATTAATAACAAGGTTAATATTAAGGATAATATTAAAGGTTAATATTAAGGTTATTATTAAGTTGATTGATCTGACTCGTTGATTGACTTTCCTGCGAGCCACTTTCCCTGAACAGTCACGACGTCAACCGACCTAAACACAAACTGGTTTTGTAAACAGGAAAGTTTACCGCCTGAGACATGAAATTTCATAAAACCTTTCAAAGATTTCCGCTTTTCCATATAACCTTTTACAGAATGATATCAATCTCATACGCAAAAAAAGAAAGCGATAGAACGAATGAAGATTTGAAAATTTCCTTTTTCATTATGCTAACAATATTTTATTTTAGCTATCATATTTATAGGAAATATTTAGTGCTACCATACATTATTGGACTATAATTGTCTGTTTCATATTCCTTTTAGTAATATGGAATTCTTTGCATAAGGTGTCCAATACGATTTTGTGGTCGCTTTGCCTGACCTAATTATTGCTTGTTGTATGGTTAATTTATCTAAAATACCTCATCTAATTCCCTCTCCCTGACAGTGATGAACCTCGCTGGTTTTTCCGTAGGCCCAAGCCGTTAAATCGGCCAGAGACTGAATAGCTTATAGTGAAAAACTCGTCAGAATTGAACATTCAACAAGAAAAGTAATGCCTCAGTTATGTTCTTCTCACGCGTACCAATCGAAATTGTAAGAAAACGTTGAGCTTTAAGCTCAATTCTCTGCTAAGTTTTAATTTTCATTTGAAGATATTTCACGATTACTAAAAACTTTGATACGA